AGGGAACAGGACACATGTACTGTTTCTTTAGTAAAGGGGTTCTCACCGCGGATGGAAATCCACGTGACCAGTCACGCCTGCAGGCCGGTTGCACTCTAATGCCACATGAGGCCATGCTCAGATACTTAATCAAGTTTTCTTTCATGATTCTAAGAAGGCATACGAATTCAGGAACAGTTTATCTGATATTTTAAATTTTTAGGGTCACCACGGTATCAAAACCGAGTATATATTTTGGAAGGGAAACATGGGTTACGGAAAGAGGAAATAAGAATTAGAACTGCACCAATGAGATGTTTCGTATCACTAGTGGCAGTGATGTTCTGATATGTGACACTGTCTAGCTTGAACATTTCGGAGGGCGTACACTCTGTATCTCCAGGGTGTGAACGTCGGTAAATTTCGACTACACCACACGGCATCACGTGACAATCTCAAATATCTTACATCACTTTATAGGCCAAGGTTCTCTGGTGCTTTCAAGATGGCTACCTACGTGTAAACTTGTATGAATTCCGCTTCCGTCAGCCACGTATTTCTGCCTCGCAGTCCACCTCGGCCTACCTCATTTCGAGCGCGCAGGAGCTGCCAGTCTGTACTGTGCGGCCTGGACACGCATGGTCTGCCATGGGCGTACCGGGCACCCTTGGGAACTCCCATCACAGCAGCAAAATGATGTAGCGTGTAAACCCCTTGTTATGCAACGACTGCGAGATGGGCGGATATAACAAGGCCGCTTCTGGGCAACGGCTCAGTAAACACGTTCCCGCAGCAGCATACAGGAACACAACAATAGAAGAGTTGTGTTTCCTATGTGGTCCGTGCCGAGATGTTATAAGCAAGGAACAAGGCTAAAACTTAGTCAATTGTCAGTTTAAAATCGGTTCTGTATGGAAGTCTGGAGAGAGGACTTGAGAGCGTGAAGCTGAAGAATCTGCAATGTTAAAGCCATTGCCAGGGAACGGCTGGTGAAGACACGGCAGGATGGAGAAGGCATAGCGGGTGCTGTGGTGATTTGTAAAATGTAGAGATTAGGGGTGACGCTGTAATTACTTGTATTTTCGAGGCGTCCATTCACCAATCCAAACCCCGTCTATTGTCACACTTTAAATCTTGCCAACACTTCCTCACATGCTGACAGAAGTCCTACGAAGCAGTGTCCTTGTTAAGGCAAAGCTGAAGTTGCTCCTGTGCTTAATCGACTACGTACCAGGCTGTCAAGATTTAGCCTCGGCGGAAGGACCCGCCATAACCATCGTGTAGGAAACTGGGTGCGCCCCAAAGCAGTTCTGGATGCTGCGAAGAAGAGAACCCCATTGCTCGTCCGTCCAGCCAGTATCCAGGTCACTATACCGACTGAGCTACAGCTGTTCCCGAGTCCTCATTTACTAAATTTTACGAGTATTTATTGTTTGTTTAGCGGCGCTGTCGAGTGGTGCGACGAACTGCGAGGGCTTGGAAGGAATCAGTCGCCGTCTGTTTCACGGCACTGTCCCGGGATTTGCCCGGATGGGCTGAGAAGAACCACAGCACCCTCAGCCAATGTCCCGGCCGAAATCTGAACCGAGCCCCTCCAGACCACGAGCGCAAACTTGCTCCGTCAGAAGCCTCGTGCAGAGTCTTACAGCTGCTTACAGTCTTGCTGTTCGCTTTCCATAAAAGCCGAAAGCTCACAAGAGCTCGTCTCGCCACTGGTCACTCTCTTGAGTCTCAGCCTATTTACTCCTTTTATTTTTAGTTTCAGTTTTAATATTATCTTCCCATTTACTCCTAGATCTTCAAGGAGTATTCTGCGTGCAGAACTCCAGACCAGAATTTTGTGTCAGTATCTTATTTCCGTGCGCACTCCTTGTCCTTTGCATATCAACGTGCCTGATCTAGCTATCGTAACAGCGTTTGGTGAAGATTGCGAATTGTGATACTCCCAGCTTCTTATCTGATTACTCCACATCCTCACCATCGTCGCTTTATCACACAACACTACATGTTTCGGCGTAACTGCCATCTTCAGGGTGTATAAGCTTTTCATTTTTGACGTGAATATTAACATATCAGCGAGGCTGCACAAAGAGGAACACAGGTCCGGATTCAGTCATCGCCTATGTCTCAGACACCCTCAGTATCTTGCCAGAGCCCAAACTTCACATCGATACACAACAAGAGGTAAAGCGTAACTGAATAACGAGCGAATTTTTTGGCAGAACGATATTGTATACATTCATGTCTTCCGGATTTCCCGTTGAATTTCAGCGGGCACTTTGTTTCTAGGAAGCGATACCGTCTAGTTTGTTAGATCATCACCGACGTTTCGAAGGAACGTGCTTACTTCACCTTTACGGTAGAAAAGTTGTACTTACCAGGCGACACTGCGTCACATAGCAGACGACAAATCTGTCTCCCACCAATGCATACAACGGAACTGTCTCCGGGTAAAAGTGGTCGGAACGCGAAGGTAACAGTTCACTTCCATCTAGTGCTGAAACAACCTGTCTCTTTATGGATGTATAAATAGTGACGTGTCGAAAGATTCCACTTCCCAATACTAAGCAGTTACGTGCAATAGTGGTTTATGTGTAATCTTCCACACCCCAATTCGGAACACTGAAACAGCGGTTAATTGCAGAAAGATCATTTGTTCCCCTGGATGAACTTGCTTATGCTGCACTCATTACACATGTGTCAGAAAAGTTGCCTAATTTATAAAGCGCTGAAAACAAGAACAGACAACAGAGAATCCAAACCGGCTTCGACTTCAAAAAGTCTACTAGATTTCTCGGTACACGCTTAATACGACTCTGTTAATACAGCCCAATACTTCAAACCGGAGTAGTAACTGTTTTTACCACACAAACAAAATCCGTGGCTTAAGTCTGAAGGAGAACTATACCGACCGAGCGATCGCCGCTTGTCGGCGAAGTTAGTGCCAACTTTGGCGGATAGAGGGTGTCGCGTGGTTAACGCAACGAATCCCCACGGCCGATAATTTCGGTTTTCTAGACCGGAGCCTCGATTTCCTTGAAATAGCTCCTCACTTATCCTCACGAGGCTGAGTGGACCCCGTTCCAGACCGACTACTCAGAAAATCTGGTAGCGCCGGTAATTGAACCGGGATCTCTGGATCTGTAGCCAGGAATTCTGACCACTAGACCACAGAGGCGGTCTTTTTTACCACATGGCTTTAATATATTTTAAATGTCTGCATTTTACTCACATAATGCATTTTTGCGTTTCGTATAATTTTCGCAATAAACAGCATTAACCGGTTGGTAGCGAAGACGGAGTATATTTCCTGTGAGGAACGAACTTGATTCTTATATGGTATTTAGGCGAAGTTCCGGCTTAAAAATTCCGCGGACCTTATCATCCATGGCTCAGAATGCTGACTGTCTTCACGAGAATCAATAAATTCGGTCACGAACACCCGAGTTAGTGATCATTGCTCAGACCCGGGATAATGTAGATGCCAGAAGTTGACATACCAGGCCGCAAGTCGGCTTGGTATGACTCCCCCTCCCCCTCAAAAAAAATTCTCTCTCTTGTCTCTGCGGGCTACAGTAACACTGAACACTAAATACATTACAAAGATTTCGTCCCTTTCGACAAGAAAGGAGAAGTGTAGGCCGACTCCAGTACGGAAAATGTACTTTTGCGTACGTTCCTTGTGGTTCTGTACATTTCACTGGCTTTGGTGTGGATTTCTTACGGAGAAATTATACAGTACTATTGCAGGTATGGAGCCCGGAAGAGAATTACATTGCAAAGTAAGGGTGCCTAGGTTAGTGTTTCTTGCATTTCGTGAAATACTTGCCACACCCAGCATCGCTTCCTACAAAAATTCGGATCCATGTTTTACGCTATAACATATTTTTTAACGACTTTATAAAATTCACTACTCTATTCATACAAAGTTTGGGTTATTGTCTATCGATGTGGGCAACATTTAAATGCAATTTTAGTGTAGAATCTCAGTACCAAGTTTCGTAAATATCTGTCGCGTAATTTCCGTCACAGAAAGATAAATATGACCGCTCCATTACTTACTTACTTACTCATGGAGCTTCTGGAGAAGCCGCCAATTTCTGCAGCTACTCAGGAATTTCCCAGCATTTTATGGAACCCGAAGGTTCATTACCGTGCTCACAAGAGCCCTCCACTGGTCGACCGCTCCATTATGCATTAATTTTGTAATTAACTAATTCTATAGAGTAGAGTTATTTTAGGAAGCTAGCAGTCGCTCAGCTAATCAAGATTTGCTCCGTCTTTTATGCAACTCGAAGGTTCATCGCCGTATTCACAAGAGCCCACTCAGTTCGTGAAAATGGCACGTAAAATGCAAGTAATCCTGAGCCCTTCTTGCAGCAAAGCTTTCAGTTAGGAAACTGAATTGACAGAACTGGCGCAGAACACATCGGTGCTCAGTTCCGCATGAGTTCCAGCTAATTAACAACACAAACTTCACTACTTAGCGCCCCGTATTGTTAACGTGTGTCTATGGGGGGTTCGGGCTGTAGAAATAACTGGTTCAGACGTAAACAATGTAATCGTACATACCTGCACAATGCCTGGTTCCGCAACCATTTCCTGGTCCCTGCAAACTGAAATACACAGATTTCCCCTTAAATACTTTCATGCTCCGCTTTATGCAGGCCACACTTCGTTTTCCATGCACTAGCTTCGCTTCTGGTATTGACCAAACTTAAGCTACAGGGACGTCGAAGAAACATTTGACGTCATATGGTGACGTCACTCCCAAATGTCCGCAGAGCAATTGTCGACACAGAAGCTGAGTCGATTGTTGTATCGATATGGAACAGCATGGGTGATGCTGTTTTAGAATCGCTCATTTTTCGATTTCAATGTAGATGTATGAAACGGATTTCAAGTCGTGAAACTATTGTGTAAAATCGTGGAACAGAAATATCAATGTCTCAGTTACAATGAGAAGTTGAAATTTTGGAATAACGGGTGAAATATTGGAACGATTACGCATGCGCGATATCTCGTAGGGAGTCGATAGTTTCGCAGACCAAAGACTGGAATTGTCAATACCAGGAGTCGGTTTATTCAGCCACGCAAATATTTCCAGTTTTTAAGCGACGGTAATAGAGAACCATGTAAGTACAGAATAGTTACTCATTTGTATTTGGTTTGCGAGCTGTGTTTTGGTGGATTAGGAGAATCAGTTTAATTTCTCTGTCCTTCCTGTAAATGAAGGGGCCAGTACCAATCGATGGTGTTGCATAGCTGCTCTGCGGTGTGGGCAGATGTCTTGTGCCTCTCCCTCTTTCCTACGATTCCAACAGACACCTTGCTGTTTCTATCGCAATAGGAACAGCACAGAGATCATTGTTACAACTTTACAAAGGCTATAATTGAATGAAGAACATTGTGACGTGGCAATGTCTTCCGGGTTGAACATATATATATGTGCAGACCGAACCACTAACGAGGGAGGTCCAACTGCTACGATTTTCGTTCTCGCTTGTGAAATTGCATAAAGTGCCGCATCTTATGAGACCTACAGAACAAATGTGTGCAGACTTTTAAGTCTTCATATAACGCGTTTTGCACAAATTACAAAAGTAATATAATTATACGTTCAGTGGTATTCTTGTCGCTTGATGAAGTCGGTCACTCTGGAACAGAGTTCCTGCTGTACGTTCTGAAAAATCTGATTAAGATATTCCGAACCCAGCCGCTTGTGTATAAATCATTGTGTAACCATTCAAAGCATAATTATCACTACATGTATGACCAGCTGTAATATCAACAAAACAATGCATTTTGCCCACACAGAGTGCTTACGTGTTTCTTATGGTTGTCACAACAAACAGTTTCTGTTTCCCTAAACAGCATTAACCTGTTCTTTGTAGGGCAGACATAATGTGTTTCCTGTGAGGTACGAACTTAATTTTTATATATTCTGTTATCTATACGGTATGGATTGGAGTCATCTGGCTCAGGATAGGGACCAATGCTGTGTTCTACTGAACACGCTAATGAAGCTTCGAGTTCCATAAAATTTTTGGGAAATTCTTGAGTTTCTGAGCGCCTGTTGGCTTCTGAAGATGGGCTAGGCTCAGTGGAGCGAGTTAGTTATGTAAATACACTTTAACAGACGGTATTGCCCGTTGAGATTTCAACGGGAAGGCTAATCATTTGCTTAGGTATAACTGACTTCCTGTACTTTCTGCAGTATCCCTTTCCAGTACTACATTTTAAACAACGCTACCTAGAGGCACACTTCTGTCACCATTCGCACACCAGTACCAGGCCAAGTAGGTATACTACACACCATATATCCACATTCAAATATTATGAAGACCCACAAAATAGACACGATAAATGGACTCAAAAGACTTCTCGCTTGTTCGTGACCTACTATACGGCTTACGTTGAAGCAACGTGTTAACGCTCCACAAATGATTATCGCGGAAACCCGAAATTGCATAATTTTAGCGCTTTCATCTCACCGTTACAGCACATACTTACATACGCGGGAGGTTTGTGCGTGTTGCAGAACGTAATTCATTTGCTCTGTAATTAATTTCCGTTTCCTATCTAAAAGTTGTACGATTAATATAAAATCATAAAACTGCATTATTCTTTCTGTTTTTATGGCCATTTTACTCGTGTGAGGGTGCGGAAGGGCGCGAGGATGCTGAGAATGGGGCACTCAAAAAGGAAGGGTGCGGGGAGTCACAGCGGGGAGCTTCACAGCTATCCTTTCCATCTGCCTTGCCACGCAGAGACAATCAAAAAAATAATTCGATTGGCGGGCCGTATAACACGCGCCGATCATGTAACGATTGGATTGGAAAACTTCAAGCTAGGAGAACATACAGTGAACACACCGCCCCTGTCCGTGTTGTCACGTGTCTGGGTGTGACTATAGGCGCGGTTTGGATTGGTGAATGGATTTACTGACCCCTTGTACACACGACTCGGAACTACAAGCAATTACAGCACCAACGCTAATCCCCACTAGAGCACACGCTAAGTCTTCTCCAGCCTGCTATTTCTTCACTAAACGTTGCCTGACAACGGATGTTAACAGTGGATATTCTTCAGCTTCACGCGCTCAAGTCCTTTCTTCACAGACTGCCTCTCAAATTCATAGTCAGAGTCAGAGTTACTTTACGACTGGCGGTTTACAGCCAATCAGTTCGTCTTGCAGACAAACCCTTTGAGACTCACGACCAGTATTTTATTTTTCAACTGAACACTTGCTGTTATAGTCCTTATGTAACATCCTCTCTGACGAGAGGATGGGTAGTCGTTTGTCCTCGCCAGCACAGTCATTCTCAGGTCCGAGTCCCGCGGGACTCATGACCATATTTTCCTGTCTCAAATTCGAGACTCCCCAACCTGGAGGGCCATGTCCCCATATTTACATCCCCCAGGAACAGGGTGGCCCAGTTATAACCCCAGGCACTGAGTTACCATTTCGTCGTCTCCTACGACTCGCAGCGTCACGGTGGAGGTTTTCGACCCCGCTCCCAAACGGAAAACTGTCTCTCAACTCTCTACTGCTCTGCTTATAACATCGGGGCACGGACTCTTCTATTGTTGCGTGGGAACATTCGCGGCGCAGACTACAGAAAACGCAGCTTTTCTATTGTTACGTGCGTGTATGTTGCGAGCGTTACCTAGCAACGGTCGCTGTCTACGGAGTCACCTAATAGCAACTGGTTATACATCACAACATATAATTCAGTTGACCATAAGTAAGAAACTTGTCTTTTGGGCTGTGACACCGTGTAGCCTTTTAGATCACATGTAACAGACCGTGGAGGCCCAAATAGTTGCTGCACGTCAAGGCTCTCACATGGCGGTGAGCTTGTCAGCCTTACGTGCCGCCCGGCCGCCCTTTACTCTCAGGAAGATCCCTGGTACCAATTTCTCCCAGAGGCTGAGCCGAAGCCAAGGCCATAGTGCGGCTGGAAACAATAATCCTCTCTGATGCCTTAAAACAGCCTGTAATGTGAGACTGAGAGCGCATTCTTTGGGGTAAAAGGTAAAGCTACCCCTGTAACGGGCCGTGAAGGCCCATAGGGTTGTGAGATGTCGAGGTTCCCACATTTCCTTGACAATCGGCTCGCATATGGCGGCGAGGTTGTCAGCCTTACGCGCCTGCTGCCCCGTACCGTCCAGGAAGATTCCTGGTACTCATTTCGGTTAGAGGTTGAGTCAACCTCAGGTACCTTCTGTGAGGTAGGAACTGAATTTTTAAAATGTATTCGAATGAACTTCACCTTCATGTATACTTGTTTATTTAACGACGCTGTCAGTAGTTCAGGCTACAGAGGGTCGACTGGTGAATGACGCTTTGGAAGTGATTTACAAGGAAGCGGTCGTGGCCTAATCTAGTTAGTACTCCACTGTTTCCAGGAGTGACTGAGGCAAATTAGTAACAAAATGAGGCAGGAGAGCCGGTCTCCGGGGCTAGAATGCAACCGAGACCTTCCAAAACACTGATATCAACATTTGAGTTTGATATGACCGCCTGGAGCGGGGTTTGGACTGGCCCCGTTCCCAGCCACGCTTCTGCAGAACAGTATGCCGGGTTGCATTCAGTCTCCTGCCATTTCCTTGCCGAGTGACTAGACTCCTCTTGTGTTTATGTCTCCATGGCAACATTAGTTTCCTTTGTTCAAAAAAGGTTACAGAGAGTTCTTCCGAACAGATGACGGATGTTTATTTCCACTCAGCAGGTGGAGTAGAAACTACAGGTCCCAACTTATCTCGTCGGTAGCAGCATCCTGAATGCAGTCACTGTACGGCACAAAACACGAGCCCACATTCCCCTCCCCACATAAAAACGTCTGCCAGTTCAATCCAGTCATCATAAACCGGATGGGGAAGCTCGTAGAAGCAAAACAGCGTTTTTTTTTCACTATATGACGATATTCGTCCTAAGGCAGCAATTATCGATTAGTATCGTTATATTATTGTCTGCTCATCTTACGTACAGAAGAAATGCCCCGAGGAAAATTCGAAACCTGCACCGATCCCGTGCGAAAACCGAGGCACAGGCAGACTGTACATTACTCAGGCCGTGACCTAGCTCAGGCGTTAGTCGCCGGCTTCCCACCGCGGCGACCCGGGTTCGATACCGCGTCAGGCCATGTCGGATTTTCGGTGGACAAAGTAGCACTGGGGCAGATTTGGTCCGAGTACTTCCCTTTCCCCTACCAGTACTCATTCCACCTACTATTCCACACTCACCTATCATCCGGGTTTGTTACAAGAGGTGAATTAGTGGCCGGCGTGCCGAATGGACTCAACTCACACTACATTACGTAGAGACATTTGCTGCCCCTTGAGATAAGCGCCTTGTCATGACGATATCTGGTGCCACGGAGGCAAAATTCCGCGCATCCTGAACCTCCAAGCAGCATAGCGAGTGATAGACTGCACATAGGGGCCGTTATCCTCTGGAAGGGAGTCAGGGTGGGCTCCAGAGAAGCCTGTGCCCATGTATGGAATCGAATCACTGCTTTTCAACCCGTAAGCAGTCGCTTTCTGATGTCAAAAAATCCAGTCTCTTTTCGCAGATGCTGCTGAAAGTATACTCAAATAAATTAAGAGGAGTTTCCGAGTTGCGGCGCTTGTCTTGGTACCCCATCTTGTCGTCTGTTCCATGTAGCGGTAAATGGAGGCCATAAAGCAGACTTCTAAAATCTTTAAAGGCCAGTGACTCAACATTACGGCAAGAGCAGACGTAATTCCAATTATGGTTCCTATAAAACCGAACGATGTACGTATATATTGTTCGGCAACGCTGGGAGGATATGACGTCAAGACCATTCATGACAGCTCCAGTTTATTGTTGCGCATTTTCACAAAATTCTTAGCGTAAAGCACTGAACTAAAACATTCACTTGGAATGGGTGCAGACAGCTGACGCCGATCGATAGTGTGAGAACACGACAGCCCCCTTCCCCACCGGCTACGTGCTTTTACGGTTTACGGGTGTTCTTTACGCACAGCATAATGTTGAGCGCCTGACTGAGGAGCAATCTGTCAACATCAAAGGCGCTGTCGTTAAACGAATGTTTACGTTTCATATCAAGAACTGGTTCAGCTGCACTCTTGCAGCACCGCTGCAAATCAGGAATGCAAGGACGCGGGTACGTAAGGCAACAGTAACTATCTGAGTGACATTCGTGATGGAATGAAAAGCAAAATAAATTCGTCTGTACCGGTTCATTTCGGGCTCCTGTCTAGAATGTAACACTTAACATGAAAATAAAGGTAAAGGTAAAGCTATCCCTGTAACAGATAAAATTGTCAGACGTCGAGGCTCCCACATATTGTGAAGTGCCGCCTAAAAGCCCGAATATCGGAGTCAGAGCGGGCGTCCATTGCTAGACAACGGCTCGGCAGTCTGGTTTCTCCTACAATAAATTCAGTGAATGCATCGTTGTCTAGGTGACATTTGTAAACATGTTCACGCGACAACGCGTACATAGGCAGACCGTTATCACGGAAAAGAAAACTAGAATTGTTCAAGGAGGTGTCTGCTACACCAGCCGCCTAGCAGGGATAAATGGAGGCCAGTTCACAAGCCAGAAACATGGGGAGTCAGACACACGAGTCAGAGGAAGAAGGCAGAAGCGAACGAGCGTGATTTTGAGAGGCAGACTTCGTTCCAGCAAGCAGACGTTTGAAGACCTTGTTTTGCGTCTTACAGTTAAAGTAATTTGAGTGTGGTGTAATTATCTGTAGTTCCGCCTGGTGAAATTGTCCAATAAATCGATTCATCTAATCCGAAACCAATTAACTTCTTGTCGCGTTACCAGGATGCGTGACAGTATGCTAGTCAGTCGGCTCACAGATGGCGGTGAGGTTGGCAGCCTTATGCGCCGGCCGCCCTTTACCCCCACGAAGATTCCTGGTGCTAATATCTGTTAGAGGCTGAGATACGTAGATTCTGAAGGGTTCTGACGATGGTGTGTAACATACACAATATATCATATGTAGTAACTATGCTACAGTCAACACAACAAATATTTCAGTAGTACATTTAGACCTTCAGTTACTGCATGACCATCAGCAGGCAGGAATGCGTATATTTACTGAAATACCCATACGGATCGTTATCGGTGCAACGCGTCCTATTAAATGTCAACATAAAAACTTTGTCTCAGATTAGTGTATAGTTAAAATAGCAAATACATGATTAATAAAAAATTAAAATATTGGAGCACGCGGTAGCGTAGTTGGTTGAGGCACCCTTCTACAAGCCGGAAGGTCGCGGTTCAAGTCCCGATGAGGTCACTGGATTTCTTAAATTGACCTAATCCTTCTGGCCGCATTGTGACCCTGAGATCGACTCAGCCTCTAACAGAAATGAGTACCAGGATTCAGTGGCGGCTCGTAGCTAAAATTAGTGGGGGTGCTGCTCCAGAAAATTTGTAGCCTTTGTTTTAAAATTGTATAAAAGGAAACAAACATGTATAAAAAGAAAATTTATTCAGAAACTTGATAAAATCCTAAAAGAACAAAATCAAACATTTTTTACTTACTTTAACCTAAATTGTTACAGTTCAAGCTTAATCTATTCATTTAAAAATGAAATCCATTCTTT